AAAATTCAATCTGCAGCCATCAATTAATGAAAATTATAGCATTTTGAATCTATGTGCAGGAGTAGTTAGATCTACGGAACCAGTCACATGGGATTAGAGAACCAAAGGTTGATGCAGGAGCAAACATGAACTATGATGAAAAGGGTTACCTAGAGAAGCGAATATGATCAATCAGATAAACAAAATGCATGTGTGCAAAGAAAGATTTTAAAGGACTACGAGGGTACGATTAAAAAACCATATATCATAGTTCTGGATTACTATACTGCGAAGTCGGGTTTCAGAACAATGTTCCCCATGCGGTTATTGGTTTACATAGATCTTTCTGTAAGTTTATACTCTTCATAAATCCTTTTATCAAATATCAGATTGCATTTTGCCTTGCACTTCATAAACCCTTTATCCCCCCCCCCCCCCCCCCCCCCAAAAAAAAAAAAATTAGCCTCAGTCGCAGAGTGAGCCAAATGCCCCTCACATTGGTGTCCTTGGAGTAATCAACTTTTTGCCCAAATAGTTGCATGTAAGGGCAAAATGCACTAGAATTATCTTAGTTACACTTGACTCGAATGGGGCTTGAAGGCGTTTAGGTCAAATCAAAAACTATATTAATAAAACCATCTATATTCGAAATTTTCTCAAACAAAACACTAGCAACAAATTGAAAAATCTTCATTATTTCATCAAGGACTGGGACATCCTATTAACATAGGTGGTCTTTGCCACCATATGTTAGTATCATATCCCATGGAAACACCCTTACCAGCATTATGTATAATATTAGCATTCACTAGAAAAACAAGGGCCCCTATTGGGTAAGGGGTATAAGTACCAACTTATATTAAGCAGATTAGAGGAAGGATTAGTCTATGAAATAGCAACCTGATCACCATCCTTGATTCCAAATCTTCGTATGTAAGCTTTGTCATCGAGCAGCTTCTGGCCTTCATAGCACAAACAAAAATGCCCCCATACATGTGACCTGGCCCGTCCAATACAAATATTTAGCTTGATGCCAGACAAAGATGTCCATTCACAATGTATTGCACTAGGCAAGGTTAACAGCATTGCATAAGATAATGTGCATCAAGTTTATGGATTTCTCATAAAATCACATAATTAAGTACCATATGTTATCTGACAGGTGTGTTGCCTGAACTCTATATCTGTATTTAACTTTTCAGATAAGCCAAAAGAAACACTCTGGTGCTATTTAACAACTGTAAATTTTAACAAATCATTGAAGTCACAATCAGTCATCCCGTTTGTTGGTCCAGCCATTTAAGTCTAATTGGTATGCACTATCACTTTCTCATTCAAGCAATCAATTTACTTGATGGATCACTTTTAGAAATTATTTTGTAGTATAATTTTCTTCTGTATCTAGTTCAACCGGTACGCTAAAGCTAATATCTTCATCTCTTTTAAGCCGAACTCTTACTGTAATGTCATTTCCAATCCAAGGACGATAAGATGGCAAAGTCAACTAACTGTATTGGGAAAGAACTAAGATTCTTACAAATTATTTACATTATGTGACGGGTGGTTTTGCACATCGACGAAAATATGGTGGGCTAAATGCACGCTTATACATTGCTAAATACATCTCCAGGGACGTTCCAATATTTTTAGAGGCCCTGCTACATCCTAAACTTTTGATTACATTGCATAAAAGAAATAACAGATAATATATGTGAAGAACAAAAATGAGCTAAACCTAAAACATGTCAACCTAAATGCATGATTTTACTAGATTCTGACTTTAAAGGACTGCATACAGCATTACCATTCAAATTGAAGCATACATCCGTCCATGGGGGAAAAGATACGATTTGACCTACTTTCATGGTCAAAGGGACGAATTTCAACGTCAAATCTATACGAGTCCATTACAATTAAGAAAAAAAAAACTGATAAATGGATCATAGTTATAGCGTTCTAAACTTGTAACAACATCAATGTCGATCTTCGTTATGAAATTATACATTTGATCTCACAAGTCAACCGTACTTTTTGTTCGCATCTTACCATGAAACAGTGCATCTCTCCTCCTTAGGCAACAAGCTAAAGAACTCCTCTAGTGCCAGTTTAAGCTCTGCTACAGTAGCATTCATAGAAACCTCGATTCCTAGATCATCAAAGAAAAGAAATCAAACCTTAAACATCCGTCATTGGGCGTAAATTAAATTAATACACGAAATAACAAAACAATCGAAAACATACCAAACGAGGAACCATCCAATTTCAGAACCGATAGCTTGAGAAGCTTCTTAGGAAGCTTGTGATATGAATAGGATAAGCTTCCAAAAAAGAGTGCGTTATGAATCAAAAGCTTTGGACTCCGATGATCGTGTTGGAAGCTCGGCATGATCTCCATCATGTGTGTAGTTTAATCATCTGGCACTAAGAAAACCCTAACTCTTTGTGGATGCAGAAAGTTGAAGAGTAACCGAGAGAGAATCAGATATGGAGGTTTTTTGGGAGATTTGACGACCGTTGGAAGGAGGAGTTGTTTGTTGGGAAGCAGAAAAATCTTATGTACTCGCTGCTTCATTCGCTTCTGTAGACGCGCGTGAGCGTTGCGAAGTCTTCCAAATGTTCAAACATTCAATCTTTCATTTTTAGTCCTTATTGTTTGTTCAAAATTGCAATTTTTGTCCTTGTGCTTTTTGAAATTATATGATTTACAATTCAATATTATTTGCGTCTTGTGCTTTACAATTGAGACTGGACATAATAAAACTAGACAAAACAAGACTGTGGAGGATGTGAAGATGGTGGTCGATGGTGGTGGCATTAACCAGTATAATGGTGGAGGAGATAGTTGTAGTTGATGTGGTGAAGGTAGAGGTGATGATAAACGGTGGTAGTGATAGTGGAGGTTATGGTAAAGGTTGCCGACAGTGGTTGTAGTAGTGGAGGTGGCCAACGGTGGTTGATGGTGGCTCCACGGCTGGTGGTGGTGGCAGCTTCGACAATGGATGGTGATGACCATTAAAACAAATATTACATCAGGGTTGTATCAAAAGAGCGTAGATTAGTAGTTTTTTAGTTTATGTCTCATTTGTGTCCCATCTTATTCCACCTATTTTAGTAGAACACTTTTTTTTTTGTTCCACGTCTCAATCTTGTCCTTGTCCCATGTCATGCCAAATTGGGACTATGAGTCTTGTTCAGTCCCTCGTACTTGAAAATAAGACAGTTAGTCATATGAACGAAAATAACAATGAATCCTAAACCATAGAAACAAAAACCACATGGATGAATTTGTCAATTTTTAATAAACCACAGGGACAAAAAACTCTTTATTAATATAAGATCCCGAACATTCATATTATTATCGATTAATTGAACTTTAAAAATTAAGCCAATTTTCACTTATGTAACGTTATTATTTTGTAACAGAGTAGTCTAGTGTCAAATTATATACTTTTAAGTGTGCATTTTGAAAGTATGTACAAGAATAAGAAACGTTTTTATTGCAAAGAAGAAACAACAGATCTAACAACATTTTTATTGTAGCAAAACAAAGAAGAATCAAGAAAGCACAAAAACGTTGAGGCAGGAGTGGCACTGGCAAATTCGAGGCAAATGCATGGAGATAATGTTAATGGAGAGAGCGACTTTTTGAGAGTAGGCATGTTTAGAGAGAGAGAGAAGGGAATGGTTGGGAAATAAACGGCAGAATGGAATAAACTCTATAACTTATATGGCTGAACGAATAAGCCATGAAATTTATAATTAGGCCATAAACTAACGTTCATGTATTATACATGACTTAATTTGTATAGGCCATTCCATTAAGCCAATAATAAATAGTTAATGAAAGACGATATGGTTTATTAATTAAGATACATATGGAAGATGATAAGATTCATTAATTATGATTATGGTTTTAGGTCACTAAGCAAAATGAAATTATATATTTATTAGACTAAATGGACAACTAAGATTGGTTTACATGGTTTGTTAGAACTGGATTATTTGTAAAAGAAATGTCCCCCCCCCCCATATATATATACATATCTACACACACACACACACATATATATATATATATATATGGAGATTTTGGGAAAAACTCCAAAAAAATGAAAAGCTGATGAACAACTTGTTAACCATTCATATAGATGTATACACATGTACATATAAGTAATTAAAGTTGTTTCTTGATTTTTATGCACGTGTGCATGTTATGCACATGTGCATATCATCAGATGGACGGTTATTAGGGTATTCTTCAAATTTTCATTATATATATATATATATATATATATATGTATGTCGAGGTTCAAACAAGAACACATCTATTTCACGATAACGCGAGAACATTCTTATCACATGTGGTAATATACTTGAGGGGACTTTGGTGCTGTATGGATATGGTGCCTTGCGACTTAGGTCACACCAAAGGTCATTTGCGTCTATGATTTAGTATCACGTGTGATGGTTTTGATGAATTATAGTATCACATTAATAACACATTTATCACATGTGAGGGGACTTAGTGGTGTAAGGGTGACTTGACCTACAACCTATATCGCGTCAAAAGTTGTACACGTCTCTAATTTAGTATCACATGTGTATCATATATATTGGAATAATAGTATCACATGTGATTGTTTATGGTAAAAGGGTGTTCTCGTAAAATGAAGGTGTTCTCATTTAAAATCAAATACAAACCACTGAAATGCCATACGCCCTACATACCAATATTAACCGTCCATGCATATTATCAAATCAATATCAACATGGATTAAATCAGTTCTGAAATTCGTTCTTAACTTTATCTGCAACTTATTTGATAATCAACTAAAAACTTCAAAATAAACAAAATCAAGAAACAAGATTGATCTATAGAACGTCTAACATTTTTTATTTGAATATGTATATATACACCATAAAATGTGCTTAATGAAATTTCAAATTTAACTACATTTATAACATGCTTAAGTTATATAATCTTACAAAAACCCTCATTCTCACAAATGAATTCAGATGGATGTTCGAATTCACCACACTATATAACGATAATTATCACAATTCAGCACACCACACCCTCAATACATAGCTTAATCAATCAGCATACCTGGAAAAACAAAGAAAGAAAGGAGAAAAAAAACAATCCTTTTTACAACTACGGCTTTTTATCCTCTATATCTCTGCCTTCTCAATTTCTTGTTTTTCGTTTTTCTCTTCTGAAAGAAAATCCAAACTTTCACCTGCAACCGATCCCTCATCATTGCACTCACCAGCCTGGCTTATTCTAAACATCTCATTGTTTTCTATTGCATCAAATCTTTCTTTCAACTCCCCCTTTAGCAACTCAACCACCTCAAGCATCGTGGGTCGTTTTTCGGGCTGATTATGTGCACATACGAGACCAACAAGAACAACCCTCTTCAACTCTTCTTCTAAGTAGTTTCCGTTCAGTTTTGGGTCTGCAATTTCATTGAACTTTCTTTCAGATGCCAATGGCAGAGCCCATTCTGTGATAGACCGTCTTGTGGTTGCGTTTAGCTTCTCAATGGGTTTCTTGCCACTAGCGAGCTCGAGTAAAAGAATCCCGAAACTGTAAACATCACAACTCTCTGATGCCTTCCCTAACATTGCGTATTCTGGGGCTAGGTACCCAAGAGTTCCTTTTACCCGCGTGGTTACATGTGTTGCACCATCTGGTATTAGCTTTGCAAATCCAAAATCGGCCACTTGGGCTTTGAAATCAGAGTCTAGCAAGACGTTGCTTGCTTTAACGTCTCTGTGTATTATGTGTGGTGTTGCATGATGGTGAAGATAACTGCATAAAGCAACGAAATAGAGTCAAGATTCATATGGTGGCACACCGTAATCCAATTGGGTGTCATTTACCACAAGAAAGAACACAAAATATGGATGCTTGAAGTAGGGGCAGGTTCAAATGAGGATCGTAAATATTTCAAAAACCTGAAAACCAACTATTCATAGTTTATTCATGATGAATGGCCCGGTAGATAAAATTATTCATAATGAAATATACATGATATTCATAATGAATAAAGCATAAAAATGCATTGATATCATGGTTATTCATCATGAATAAAACATAATTCGTTCCGAGGTTCTCAAAATATTTATTGTTCTCATTTGAACTTTTCCCGGTTGAAGTACTTACACAATTCCTTCTGCAGAGCCAGTGGCGATGGTCATTCGCCGTGGCCAATCAAGAAGGCTTTCAGAAGAATGTTGGCCATGAAGGTGAGACAGCAAACTGAGATTAGGCATGTAATCATACACGATTAGCCGTTCTTGTCCTTCTGCACAATAACCACGTAAACTAAGCAGGTTCTTGTGTCTAACTCGTGCGAGTATTTCAACCTCCACAGCAAATTCCATTTCTGCTTTGTTGCTCCAAACCTTCAACCTTTTAACTGCAATCTGAATGCAGAATTCTATCAGCTTAAAACTCATGTCAGTATGCTTAGATTATCCACCTAGTTAAAAATCCTAGTTACTTCCTAAATCCCTTTCTTGAACCTTTTTACCTCATTTCTATCCACTTAATAAGATTAGGACCGGACCTTTTTACCTCATTTCTATCCACTTAATAAGATTAGGACCGGTTACAAGTGTCAACAATATCAATACCGTATCCATATCACACCTGTTTACCTTTTTTTCCCATTAAGTCCTGTATGATTAAGTTGTCTGTCTAGATAAGTATGTTATATTGAGGGACGAGAGACATATGGGTTTGAGGGAGGCAAAAAGAGAGGGTTGGATCATTTCGGATGCATTTCTCGCATTAATTTGTTTGAGGTGGTTTAATGGGTACAAGTCAGGGGTCCTGGCTTATTCCATATAGCCATTTTGGCTTAATGGCTTAACCATTAAGCCATAAAGAAAATGGCTGAGCGATTCCATAAAAAAACATCTGAGCGATTAAGCCATTTAGATCATTAGGCTCATTAAGCTGTAAGTAAACAGCCCCTATACACAAACTTCTCACCCCAAAACTCTTGAAGCTAAGAAACGTAAAACTTGTCATATGTTGTTCTACATTTTGCAAAATTAAAAGACAGAATCCATAGAATCTTAGCGAAACGCTAAAGAAAGAGTAAGACCACTCTCTATAATTCCCACAAAGCCGATGACCGCCTTCGTGAACTAAGGTCATCTTTCATTAATAGACAAAATCTTTGCATACAGAAACTAAATCTCCACAAGAAGTTTATAACACTTGTGGGCTCAAATGCTTATCAATCACTGAATCGCCCAACTTCCTCTAAAAGCCAATAAGGGCATGTTTGTTAGCAGCTTAATGAGCTTAACTGCCTCACAACTTATTCGGTCAGCTATACATGACTATTTGGTAGTGGCTTAATGATATAGAAAGTGACTTATTCTGTATACTTCTAGGGGCGAGCCTTTTGCGGAAAGCAAAGTTTGTTTTCCAAACCTACCCTTCCCAATTAAAATACACGCTTCTTCCATCTATGAAAACATCTTCCAAACAAAAACTTTCCTGATCTATACGAACATATTATTTCACACATGCAACTTTATCCATACAAGACTTAATGAAAAACCAACCAAACATCCCCTAAATCGGAGTTAGAAAAGCGAAGTTAATTAATCAAAACAAAAGTCATTAGAAATAGGAAAACAAGGTGGTGTATTAATTACTTGAGATCCATCCCATAGTTGGCCCCAGTAGACACTGCCAAATCCACCTTCACCAAGCTTGTTGTCATAATTAAAATTGTTTGTAGCAGAATGCAACTCCTTCAATGAAAATATCCTCCATGTTGATTGTTTCTTCTCTTTCTCTTTCCTGTTCAATTTAGCAATAAGAATTCTATACAATCAACCCTATAAAACCCCTTTTCAATATTGACAAAACTCAATCAATTAGCAGCATTCATAGAACAATCACCCACAAATCAAGCACCAAATCCAATAAGTTATATCACTAACTTCATTAATCCAATAACAGCAAAATCAAACATGAATGCAATCAACTCACTAAACCCTAATTTAACAGAAGTTTAGTGGTATCATAACTTCATAAACACCCGCTAATTTCAATTGGGTTTTTGATTGATCGATTGAATAGTGGAAACAAAACATACCGATCGGAGCCTCTTGTGCAGCAAAAGAAGTAGCGAAAATCCATAAGTTCAAAAACCCTGAAAAATTATCGCCTAATTCGAGCTCCAACTCGAAAACGATGAAGATGCCAACTAGTAAATTGCACTGTTCAACGATATGAGAGCAGAAAAACGAGAACCCATAACAGAGTTGCAGAAAACCCTTTATAACGACGATCCTTTTCGAAATAAATCAAGTGATGGGTCTCCCTGTGAAGAAGTTTTCTGAAGATTCGCTATTAATAATCTTAAAAACGTAAATACGCCGACATTTTAGAGAGAGAAAGGAGATGAAACTTAACAGGGTCTTCTTCCTGGTTCACCAACCCTTTGGACTTCTTTAAATCCCCTTTCGGTTTTCAAATTCTCTGCTTCTTTTGGAGTTGGGTGGAATGGGGGGTGGGTCCTAACGGTCATTCTAAAATCACATTGTTTTGTTTCTTCTAGGAGTAAATTACGATTTTAGTCCCTTTAGTTTGTTAAAAGTTGCAATTTTTGTCCTTCTGATTTAGAAATTATAAGTTTCATTCCTATGGTTTTTAATTCATTACAATTTTCATCCTTATGATTTACAATGTATTTTTGTTTAGGTCTTTATGGTTTACAATTCCTTACTGTTTTGGTCCCTTGTATTTAAAGATAGGAAATTGTCCAGGGATGAAAATGGTACTAAATTGTAAACCATAAAGATGAAAATGACAATTTCTAAACCACATGGATGAAAATCAAAATTAATAGCAAATCATTAGAACAAAAATCATAATTTCCTCTTATGGAGAAAAACTGGTGTTTTGTCTGGTTAAGTTGGTTTACATGACTTTTCTCCCATCCTAGACATGGGTTCGAAAGCAAATAACTAACCAAAAAATCAATGATGATTTTATGAAGAAAAAAATTATATTTGTTTCTTATAGTTAAATTGTATGTCATTTTAAATGAAACTGTATTATTATAGTTAATATTTATTTTATTTTATATTATGTTAATTATTTTACGTTCTCGCTTAATATTTTTTTAATCCACCTTTGGATGTAGTTATCTCGGATATTGATAAAAAAAAAAAACCTGATATGTTTGTCAAAATTATCATTTGCGGGCCTGTGATGGGCTTGTACCGGACCTAACTTGTTTTTTGTCCAAATGGCATAACCCAAACCCTTTTTTCGGACTTGACAACTTGTCATTGTCCGTCTCATAAATGGGTTTGGGTTTGGCTTGCCCACGGGTTAACGAGCCTAAAAAATGTAACTCATATAAATCTATAAACTCAATTAATTAACAAATGTGGAACATAAAAGTAAAGGAAAAACACTGTTGCAATTAAAATTTTAAGCAACTAAAGTGAAATATGGATCTCAACAAGTGGAGAAATAAATGATTCTATAAACAAACAACCCCTTAGCCTTTTACGTTCTCAAGAATGACAAAAGAGTCTCGTCATATTACTTTAATAGTTTAATTTTAAAATATACTAATATAATTTTAATTAATGATAAAAAAAATATTAATTATTATAAAATATAAACAGGATGGGCGGACCTGTCCATATTTATTTTCACACTGTTCATGTCCGCCCGTTAATTTCAACGAACAAACCCAGATCTGTCCATTTTCTTGATAATGGTTGTTCAGACCCGTATTTCTAACAAGTTGGGTCTAACGGATCGTCCCGTCCATTGAGGTGATGATTTATCTTTCAAAAAAAATACTTAGCTCCCGCTTGGTTTGAAGGAATGAAATGGATTTGGGGGGATTTGCATTTCAAATCCATTCCAATCTCATATTTAGTTTGTTGGATTGTCCGGATTTAAAATCTTAGGATTTAATTGAAATATTTCAATCATGGGATTTTGAAATCCTTAGGTCTCGTTTGGTTTGAAGGAATGGAATGAATTTGGAGGGATTTGCATTTAAATTTATTTCAATCCTATGTTTGGTTTGTTGGATTGTGTGGATTTGAAAATCCTATGATTTAATTGAAATCCTTCAAACGTAGGATTTTGAAATCCTTAGGGAGTGCTCGAGATTTCACGGGATTTCATAAGATTGTATGCAATAAGGTTTTAGGAAATGTTAAAAACACTTGTTTTGTAATAATCGATTAATAAAAATGTAATTCAATTGTTTTTATAATTATTTATAATTTTTTCTATAAAATTATTTATAAATAATGAAATTCAATTTCATTCCAAATCTTACAAACCAAACACACCAATAATTTCAAATTCATTCCGATCCAAATCCAAAACCTTCCATGAAACCCAAATATCTAAAAAACAATCATGCAAACTGAACGGACCCTTAAAACCCTCTTCCGAGGTGAAATAAGTTGTCCCGATTCAAAAATCAATTTAGGTCATGTTTGTTTTTTCAAAATTACCTCTTAATACCTCTGGAATCTGATTCGTTCATACGTTTGGGTATAAGAGCGTTTGTTTTATTTATAAAATAAGAGCTTAAAAGCTCTAAATGTATTCTAAAATTTTAAGTGGTAAACGTATCGCTGAATATCTTTTAATCCTAATCCACCCTCTATCAAATGGTTCATATTTTGGGGGCTGGAAGAGATTTGTTAGCAAAAGTTATTTATCTTTTATACTTTTGTAAAAAAAATTATTTATCTTTAATATTTTTGCACTAGTTTAACCCATTCAGATTTCAGACTTCAGACGTAAAAACAAACAATCTTACTGATCCAGATTTCAAACTTCATGACTACCTCTTATAAATCAAAAGTGAAATAAAACTTTAAACTTCAACACCTCTTAAAAAACAAACGTCACCTTACTTTCATAACAAACAATTAAAATGGAACATTAAGTTGTGATAGACATTTTCCAACGATTCTCATTTTTACATAATTTAATGAAAAATTCTAGAATCATTGACGAATCGTCCAATAACGGAAACCGAACTTTTGTGATAACGTTATATAGTACGTCTTGAATCACGATTTTATAATATCACGTGTTGAAAAAAAGTCGATTTTGGTATGGTCCAGTCCAAAATAGTCCAATCCATTTAAAAGATCATTGATTTAACTAGACCAGTTCAAGCTTTATCTGGTTCGTATGTTTTTTTTTTTATCTTTAATCAAAAAAATCTAGCTCGAAAAAGGACTTACCATATCCAGCCTGATCCAAAACTGATAGCATTGTTGCCTGATCGTTATCCGCCCCAGCCTTATCTCTCATGCCCCCGATCCAAAAGCCTATATAAACTATTTATGGGAAAAGAAGATGCTTAGTCGGGAAAACAAGCCCCAAGTCATATACAACTGTTATTCAAGTCTTCGTCTTATTTTAAAAAATCGTGTCGTGACGATTTTATAAGTTTGAACTTGAAAATGTATTATCATAACATTTTTTAAGTATATACTTTGCATAACAATATTTTTTTTAAACATAACTAAATACTAAATAATTTATCTGTTTGATACACATTTGACCATATTCAGGTATATCTTTTTTTTTTTTAATTAACCTGAATATCCAATCCGCTATGAGAGCCGACTAATCCCAGGGCGACCACCTGTTTTGCAGATAGTCCGGAGTCACTGCATTTGAACCTCCGTGACCACAAGAGGATTTTTATTCCTCCTTGGATTTGAACATGGGACCTCCAGGTCTTGGAGCCAAGCTCAAACCAATCAGACACCACCCTTGTGGTTATCCAGGTCTATCTATGACTCACGCTTTTGTCTCAATCGCTTTGATCCATACCTTTTTTGCGCTTTTTTAACCATTAATGTCTGAACCAGCTTACACGTATCTCGACTAAATAAGTAGCCGTCATCTTTTTTAGAAGTCAAACATGGTGAGATGTCAGATCTTTTTGTAGCAAGAGATGTTCTGAAACCTATTAGGTGAATATAAATCGACGTATTTTTAACAGAAAAGTTTAAAAAAATCCAACAAACTTTACTGATATAAATGGTTAAGTCCTTGAATTTCTTTTAAATGAATACATTATTAAACTTTTTCATTTTAAATAATTAAGTCTCCGAACACTTTTTTGAATAAATAAACCATCGAACTTTTAAAAATTGGTTACCTAAAATTTTTCAATCCAAAAAATTACTTGTAACTCGCTACGTAAGTTTTAAGGTAAAAAAAAACTTATATTGGTATTAACGTTAACAAACTCTACGTCATTCAAACCTCTTGCACCCAATTTGAATGACGTAAAGTTTGGGAATGTTAAAACTGATTTAAGTTTTTTTTTACTTTAAAACATTTCTAGCTGATTACTAGTTTTTTGGGTTAAACTGATATAGGTAACCAATTTTACACTACAACAAAATTGAATTTATAGGACGCCACCAATTTCAAAATGATCTATTAGACTAATTTACAGGACTCAATTTATAGGACCAAAAAATAAATAGTCCTATCTGAAGACGTTATAATAAATTTATAGACCGATTTTAGGCGTCTTAACATGTTTTATAGAACAATTTTAATACAAAACTGTCTCATTATCTATTTTATCGGACATTTTTTCACATCTATTTATACATACAATTGTTTTTATAAGACATTTTTTTCAAATAATGTCCTATAAAATAGCTAATGAGACGCTTTGTACTAAAAGTGTTATATAAAACTTGTTAAGACGTCAAAAAATATCATATAAACTTTATTATAACACATTTAGATCGGACCCTTTATTTTTTGGTCCTATAAAGTTGTCTAATATGACACTTTGAAATTTGTGGCATCCTACAAACTTAATTTTATTACAGTGTTATTAGTTCAATAATTTATTTATTTTAAAAAATACTGAATAACTTAATCATTCAAAATATAAAAGTTTAATAATTTTTTAATTAAAAAAATATTCAAAAATTTAATCGATTAAAATAAGAAAATTTATTGGATTTTCTAAAATTCTCTCTTATTTCATCACAAATTGAATCAGGTTTATAAAAAATATCAAATCGCATCATCAACGACATAATCCGGTGCCATCGAATCCATCAAAAATTGGTCATTTGAAAAAACGTCACTTACGTAAATTTTATTAATCGATAAAAATCAGTAAAACCAGCAAAATATGGCGTGAATTTGATAAAGAAGAAGATAAGATTGATTCTCCGAAAATAATGTGCAAAGTGATTCACATCATTTCCATAAATTAAAATAAAAAATAAACAAAAAATATCCAGGAGAAACGGTTTTAATTGATGCAATCAATTATTTATATCTATACTATATTATAAGGCATTTGATAAAAACTCTTAAAAAATATTTTTTATACATGAAGTACTGTTTATTGATGCATATTACTTAGAAATTCAAGAT